ATGATCACCGCTGAATGAATTTCCTTTTCTCTTGCCTTAAGGCAGGTTTTGCCCATTCTTATCAGAAGAAATGTTACAGGGCTTTTCTGAGGAATATTATATACAGTCACTTTTTTTTTTCCACTACCTTATTCTCTCTTCTAAGTCTTACATAGTTTCTAACTTGTTTGCTTCCCCATAATTTGTCACGCTTCCAGGAGCCTGTGTCACACTACTCAGGTCAAGACAGTGAGCCCTAAGACACAGTAGACCACCCACGACAGTGAAAAAATACACTAGAAATAAGTTTTGGAAACCAGCTTATCTTCTTTAATATGAAAAGGAAGCTCAAAATGTAACTCATCATAAAAGGCTTTATAAAGAACTAAAAGAAATATCTGTAACATCCCTTTTCTTTCTACTGAATTTATCTTACCACCAAGTTTTTAATGTCTGTCTGTCTTTATTATCACCACTTTGCAACATGTTGTTTTCATTGCTGTTGCCCTTAACAATCTAGGTCTGTTCCCTCAAGATTTAAAAAAAAAAGGAAAAATTATCAATTTGTGCCAATATTTCATATGGCTAAAAACCACCAGAAGCCACAGTTGATCTTTTCCCTGTCTACCTAAGTATTCATCTTCACAAAGCCTGCCAAAATGAAATGTCCTTGTTTTATATCTTCTCTAAAACAATTTAAAGGTCTCTGCTCAAATCATCGTCTAAAAAAGCCCACTAGTAAGATGAGCAGCCAGTCCAAGAAGCAGCATCTTTAAAACCACCATACCCTCAGCATGTTTCTGTTTCACAAAAGAAAGAAGGCCATTAGAACTCTATTGAGCCACAGTGAAGAAGTTTTATTTTAACACAGAGAACTGCAGCCTCTGTGACGTGGCCACTCTTCCTTCTGCAAGATAAAATTCTCTTTGCCACCCTCAGAATCCCTGGTGTGTGTTACCTCCACCCAGTTGTTTCTGCCCCCTTACCTGTGAGCAGCACCAGGAGAGCCCAGTTCAGGCAGACGTGAGACAACATTCTGGCTGAAGGTGACAAACAACGCTCCTGGTCACCCTTCTCATTCAAGAAATTTCTTCTTTGTGAACTTCCGTGTTTCCTTCTTAGCACATCATCTCCAGACAGAGCTGCGTGTGCCTCTCAGTCCACTCTGGGCTGTTTTGCCCGAGGTTGTGCTGTGTGCTGCAGCACAGCTGCTGGGGCAGGGTACAAGTGCAATGAGCTCCTGCTGGCGGGGCTTTGACTGAGAGGTGACAACACTTCACAACAACCACGCAAAACTGCTTCTCATTTTTTTCCAGATCTGTTTGATGACTGTAAGCGAAACTTGACAGCAGCACTGAGCTGACACGACTGTCAGCAATCCACTGCCCCAGACTGCTTCCCACACCTGCTTTTGCCACAGCAGACAGGGTTTGGATAGAAGATTATATAATACATAGCAGACTGTGGGAAGTGGAAAGGGCTTGGCCGAGTAACAGATTTGCAGGATGAACTATTCAAGCTTTTCATCATAAGTTTCTGGTTCTAATGCTTAGAAGCAACTCAGAGCATCTTCTGGCAAATTTTCTTTGACAGCAATAATTTGGTGGTTTTGGAAAACTGTTACACAATTGAGCCTAATGGAGTGCCAGTCTTTTTTCATATTTAAAAATGCCACGTGCATGTGTGCAAACATCCAGGAGAGAGGAGACTTGAAAAATGTGGAAACTGAATCAAGGCTCACTCTGACAAAATGCTGAAATACAGCTTTTGAAAAATGTTGTTCCCTGGCCACTCTCCCTGTGTCTGGATCACCACACTCTCCTCAAGGATATCTTGTCTTCTTGTATTGTTTGGGCTAAAACTGCACCTGTGATCAAGGGCCAAGAAATGTCCTTTGCTGAAGCAGCTAAACTACTTCACAGTGTTTTATACAGGTGAATTTAAGTACTAAGGAGTTATTTACGAGTAGAGTGGAAGATGCTAAAATTGGAACCTTGCCTTGCATGACTACCTTATGGGAGAACAGAGGCACCAAACTGACAGGTGTTTTAAGTGAAATTCAGGAAAACCAAGGGATTAATGTAGCTGAGAAACAAACTGGCAACACACTTGTAAGAAAGAAGTGATACAAAGAGGGATGAAGGGAGATTTCTGCATGCAGTAGCTGGAAGCAGAACTCCTTAAGAAAAGGCTTCCTCTCAGCTCCTGTGGTTTCTGAGGAAACTGCAGACAGCTGCTAGAGGAACAATTCTGATAATTACCAGCAAGATCCTGCAACTGCTCTGCAAAAATAGGAAAGGCAGGGCAGGCTGGCTCTGCCAGGATCCCAGGAAAGCCATTCTGGTTACACAATAAAAGGATGTGAGAGCTACAGGACAACAGTTAACCCACTTGCTTTAGATTTCACCTCAAACACAGACCATAAGGAATGCCTTGATGTAATCTGAACTTCTGTCTGCCTGTTTTCCAAGTTCCTGTGTGTTGTTTGTGCAAGAAAAAACCACCATTTCTGTAGGAATTTCTTCTTGACTCAGCATACAGAATTATAGAATGGCATACCCAAAACAAGCAAGTTACAAATGAAAGTACAACAGGAAAATCCAACTTTAATCTGTGTCTACCACCTCACATGGTACACTTAACAAAAATTAGACTTTTTTATTTTTACCAAAAAAACCCACAAAACTTTAAACATTTTCATCTGCCCAGTCACTCACAACCTCCAAGAGGTGCACAATGAATGTTTTATCAGCTTGTACAACAGCAAAACAAAACACAACGTGTATCCTCAGAACCCCTTCTGTCTCTCACTGTGGTGCATTAACAAAACCAGCTGTTTGCTTCACGTCATTTCATCAATGATGCTGCACATCGCTGCATCTTTGTCCAAAACCTGATCCCTCTTGCCACCAGAACGCTCCCTCTGCTTTTCGCTCTGCCCAGCGCAGCTGCTGCCATCATCAGCATCCATGGGCTCCACGCTGACCCTGAGTCCCCCCTCTGTGTGAGGCAGATCATCGGGCAGGGAAGCCAGGCAGTTCTGGATCATCTCCACCACTCGCTCCAGGTGCTTCTGGAAGCGCTCGGCCGTCTCCAGGCGCTGCCGCTTCTGCACCTCCATCATCACCCTCAGCGTCTCCCGGGCCTGGTGAGGCCGGTACTCGTTTATAAGGTGGTGCACGTGCACAAAAAGCAATTTCAAGTCTTCCAGTTTCTCCTCTCGCTTTATACTCCCTGGACTCCTTATCAAGATGTCCAAGAGGTCCAGGAAGTTGACGAGGATGGACATGTTAAGTTTCCTTAACTCCTTCTTGTGATCAAACTGCATGGGATGCAGCCGTTCAATACCCTGGCTCTCCAGGGGCCGAATGATCAGATCATCACACTGGAACTGGTTCCCAAACATCATGTAGCTGTCCTTCACAGGCGGAGGTGGCTTTGGAGCCAGCCCTTTACGGATATTTTCATCAGTGTATTCTTTGATATACTGCATTGGAGGAGGAGGAAGGGCACTCACTTGCTGAGGTTCACCCATTTTTGCCAGATGAGATTCCTAGGGAATGACCCAAGAAACAAATGTTAATTTGTGTCACAAGGTTATAATATAAATGTAAACAAAGACAAAATATGGGAGATGGCTGTGAGAAAATGAGCCAGAAGAGATAAATCTGTGCGCAGAATACAGGAAACTCCTGGCAAATCCACATTACCTTTTCACTATGGTTTACTTATAGCAAAATTAACTGTACTAGAAGCACGTAGAACACTTATGTCCCTAAATATGAAAGACCAACCTGTAAACTGGGCAGCCAAAGGGAGAGGGGTGACCCCCTTCCCTAGGTGAGAGCTGGTGGGCAAACCCCCCAGAATCACAGAATATCCCCAGCCGGAAGGGATACACAAGGATCTGCACAGGACACCCCAATAATCCCCCCACCGTGCCTGAGAGCACGTCCCAAAGGCTTCTTGAACTCTTTCAGGCCTGGAACTGTGACCAAGGAGAGCCTGGGGAACCTGTGCCCGATTACATTCTGAAGAAAGAACCTTTTCCTAATATCCACGTAACCCTCCCCTGGCACAGCTGCAGCAATTCCCTCGGTCACAGAGGGCAGAGGTAGGCGCTGCCCCTCGCGAGGAAGCTGCAGCCCGCCGTTGGATCCCCCCTCACTCTGCCCTTCTCCAGGCTGACCAGACCAAGCGCCCTCAGCCGCTGCCCTCTTCACCCGCGCCCTCAAGAGAAACCAGGCAGGGCCCACACCCGTCGCCCTGCGCCGAGCCGGGCTCTGGGGAGGCCCAAATCCCGCGGCGGGGCTCGCCAGGCCAGTGCTGAAGAGACAAGAGCCGAAACCGCATCCCGGCGGAGAACACGAACCCCTCAGAGGCCCCAGCGGCCCTCACCTGCCCGCTCCTCCCGCCGCGCTCCTCAACGCCGCCGCAGCCGCTTCCGCCCGGCAGCCCTCTGCTATCGCTTCCCATTGGTTGGCGGCGTCGTGGTGCCTCACTCTGATTGGCTGTCGAGCAGAGCAGTCAGACACTCCTCCACTCAGCTCGCTCGGGGGCGGGGCCGCGCGCGGGGCGTGGCTCCCGTCATGGCGGGGTTGGGGCTGCTCCGTCCTGGGGCCGCGAGGGGCCCTCAGAGGTCTGTGGACTACTGGGTTATGTGGCCCCTCAGGGGTCTGTGACCCCTCAGTGTCCTGTGCCCCTTCAGCGGTCTGTGACCCCTCAGCGTTCTGTGCCCCCTCAGCGGTCCGGGACCCCTCAGCGGTCTGTGACCCCTCAGCGGTCTGTGACCCCTCAGCGTCCTGTGGCCCAATGGTTCTGGGACCCCTCAGGGTTCCGTGGCCCCTCAGCGGTCCGTGGCCCCTCAGGGTGCGGGGCTCCCTCGCCACAAGCCGCTGTGAGGCGGCAGGACCCGTCGGGGCGGGAGGGACCAGCCCGGCGTCCCTCGGGGCTGCAGGGACAGCGAGGATGGTGCTCGTCAGGGAGACACAGCCTCACAGAAATCACAGCAATCACAGAAATCACAAAATCAATTAGGTTGGAAAAGACCTCTGAGGTCCCCCTGGGAAGTGTTTGCAGCAGAATACGCTAAATCTGACCATAACTGTGACAAACAGTTGGGCTCCGTTGCTTTTCTTTCAGTTTTCTTCCAGGGGGGTTGAAGTTAACGTGGTGGATGTCAGTTTTTCACCGGGTCAGGTGGAGCAGGGCTTGCTGGCATCGCTTCTGCAGGATTTTCCCTCTGAACGGCCAACAGAGAAGGATTTTTCGACACTTGGTTCTGTGCCGTTCTCGCTCCCTCAGCAGATGGCAGCAATGGCCTTGGTGTCAGGGACCCATCACCACACACGCGGTGTCATTTACACATTCACTCTTCCAGATCGATCATTTACTAAAAAAAAAATTCAATCGAATGATAATTACTTTGGATCCTGTTAATTATTTCTAGGAACACGCAAAGAAGATCCAGAATCGTAGGATTTCTTTAATGAGAAAGCCTGAAGTGATGCACAGAATATCTGAATATTTATATATTCTAAACTAAGCTACACTTTACAATTTACAATGAGTTGAATATTTAAATATTCCAAATGAAACTACACTTTATAATTTACAATTAGTTGAATATTTAAATATTCCAAACGAAACTACACTTTATAATTTACAATTAGTTGAATATTTAAATATTCCAAACGAAACTACACTTTATAATTTACAATGAGTTGAATATTTAAATATTCCAAATGAAACTACACTTTATAATTTACAATGAGTTGAATATTTAAATATTCCAAACTGAACGACACTTTACAATTTTCAGTGAGTACAAGCCTGGCTGCAAAATAGGCTGATTTGTTTTCATTTGTAAGCAATTTGCTGAATTCAGACAAGGATGCAGTTCCATGCTGCAACTAAAACATTACTGCTTTGGAAAAGGTGATCTCATTCCTTCACCCCTAATCCTGCTTCCTCATCCCTCTCTCTTTTCTTCCCTCCCTGCTCCTCCAGCCTCTCACTGGCTGTGCAGCATTTTCTTGTCACTGCTTGTGCCACCACCATCAGACACTGGATTGCAAAGCAAACTGATGCAGCCCTAAACCCCATAAAAACATCACTGCCGGCTTTTTTTGTTAAGTTTTCAGCTTTTCTAATGAGTTTACACACTGTGCTGTGTGCCCTGTGAGCATCAGGCAGAGCTTTTGAGAGAGGAGCATGCATAGGCAGAAGGAAAGGAGAAGGCTGGGAACATGGGGTGGGGAATTGTCCTCTCCATTTGTGTGACAGAAAGCTCATATCTTGTCTCAAATCATCTTGTTACATCATACTCTGAAAGACAGGCAAGGAATAAAAATCATCGCCTCCAGAGATGTGTGAGATAACACGTGTAGTAGGAGGTACCAGCACACCTTTGGTTTTTTTGGACTTTCCAGACTTTGATTTCACATTCTTTTTACAGGAGCTGAGCTTGATTCTCTAGTGCCTTGCACTCAGTGAACCGTGCAGCAAGGATGTAAAATGCTGTGACTTCAAACAGGAGCAGACAGAGAGCCAAGCTCTTGTTTTTTCCTCGATCTCTGTGATCTCCTTGACTCATTTTCTCTATGATGGTGGCCAAGACAGAGGGGATATAACATCAGTCTTGTTCTTGGTGGCAGGGCTGCTTCTCAGAAGACCCATGGATGACCCTTTGCAGCCCACAGGGAGCTGCTGACACTGCTCCTTACAGTGCTTCTAAATGAGAAATTAAGGATTATGGGGAATGTCAAGTGTAACACTCTACAGTTTGCATCCTGCTCCATTCCAGCTCTTTTCTGAAATCAGGGCACTATCCAGTACAAGTCCATGACTGGTAATGAAGCACAATTCCTACATCATCTCCAGCTTGTGGGAATGGATTGGACACTCCTTCAGCAGATGGTGAAGCAGTACCATGATATTCTCTGCCTCAAAGACTCAACATCTTAATTTACAGCTTTGGTTAAGTTTATTTTCATTTTCTTCATAACTAATTTTATGCAAATTGGCATGTTTCAGTAGCAAGCACTCCAGTTCTGTTAATTCAGCAGCAGTGTGTACAGTGTGTGCCATTGCAGTATGCTGTTATTTTAGCAGAACTGGAATCCAAACATTGTACAAGCACAGTAAATATAAACCCCATTTTCAAGCATGCTCTTAGAACAGTGCTGCTCTCTTCTGTGCTACAACAGATTTCTTTCATTTCTTGCTGCTATTGCACTCTAAATAACAAATAAATAAATAAATAAGTAAATGTGTGTTTTTCTCATGTTGTCTAAAAAACAACCCCAAAGTCAAACTCAGTTCCAGTCTCTTGTTGGGTGTAGGTTAGGGTTATATCTTATAGCCTGCTCAAGCAATGAGCTCAGGAATTTCCTTTTTTGGTGATTGTTACAGGCTTTGTTGCAGGATATACCAGGGAGGAGGGCGAGAGAAAAGGAGCCTGCTGGGGGTGAAGGAGACTTAACCAAGCTTTATGTCTCCATCTGCTGTGGTTGATTCCCATCTCCCTGTCTCCTGCTGTGGCTTTGGGAGTAAATGCATTTGCAGTGCAGTGCTGTGCAACCTTTTCTTCATGACTCCTCAGACTAAAATATCAGCTGCAGCCTACTGGCACACCTGCTAATGTAGGAAAGGAGTTTATTGTTCCCATCATGTGAAAACTGGGGCACAACACAGTGCAGTGCACGACAGCTGAACTCTTTCTTGCTCTACAGCCTGTTATCAAACACATTCAAAGCTCAAAACAGAGCTTTCATGGTTATTTAGCAATAAAACCGGTATCTCAGTACTGTTAGGAACCTGATAGGGCTCAAAATCCAGGCATGCTTTGATGGAATCACCCAGCACTCCTTCCTATGTTCATAGTCATAGTATTGTCTCTGGAAGCAGCCCCCCAACCTGATTTTTAAGCCAGACATTAATGCTGGGTGTTTTCTTGCTCACATGCCCATTGTAACTACTTATTCTAACATGTAAATGTAAAAAAATGCATCTGCATGGAACATCCTGCCCAGTCATCAGTGACCTGGGTATGGCAAACGTGTCAATTTGCCAGGGTAAACCCTGGGACCTGCAGCACTTTCTGCCAGCAGTGCAAGTCCCACCTTTGTCTTCAGAGGGAGACAGAAGCAGACAGGACCCGTGATAGCCAGGCACTGATAAAAGGAGCTGGAACAAAATCCCAGTTTGGGTGTGACTCCCATGAAATGAGGTTTTCCTTTCTGCATTTTTGCCTGAGAGAGAACAGCTGAGGAAAGGATTAATTGTCCCTTCATCACAGAAGAGCCTGTCCTAACCCTGTGCAAGTTCTCCAGTATAAAACATGTTCTCTATGTTACTGCCAGTCCTGGGAGTTATTCACTTCACAAATGATGGATATTTCACTACAACCTCCCAGCAGATGCTCAGAACAAGGCATCCCCTTTCCCAGGGCTCCCAAACAGTTCATAGGAGAATCTGGCTCTGCTTCTACAACTCCCTGGGTCACTGGAGCAGTGTGAGGGGATTCAAAGGTGCAGTTGTAAGACCTCGAGGAAAGCTGGATGCAGCTGGCTCATAAAGACCAGGCTAATTCTTCCCTTTTTCTGCAGCTTTCTGTCTTGTGCTCTGGGTCCACTGGAGCTGTGTTTATTGGGGTGATAATGAACTGCTAAAGAAGCAGGATAGCTGGGTAACCTAAATAAGAGTTTCTCACACTTTAAGCTAAGTAGCAAAATGGGTTGAATTATGGAGGTTTAGAAGTTGAGTAACAATCATCATATTGAGCAGCTGATGTAAAGGAAGAGCTGGCTCCCAGGCAGCAAACCTGACCCAAATATTGCACATGATAGAAGGATATAGGTCAATTTATGGGAGTAAAGAGAAAGCTGCAGCCTTCCGGACTGTTTTTTTTTTACAGAAACAAAAATTACCTATATTTAACTTCATAAATTTCTCTGCCGCCTTCAGGACATAAACCTTGGTATCAGAGCAGGATGTGCGGGTGGGGAGATTTTCACAGTCTGCAGTAATCAAAGTGAGAGCTGCATAATCTGGGTAAAACCCCTATGAAAAAAATCCAATCCATAAAATAACTTTTTTTTTTTTTTTTTTAACCAGAAATAAAGCAGTTTGCAGGAGGTTGCAAGGAAATAACAAAGGTGATTGAAAGAAATAAAATCCACTGAGGCTACAGTTGATAAGAACTTTGTCTACAACCTCAACTTGCCCAGCACAGAGAAGTATTTAGAGCACATAGCAGCTCAAACTTCAATCTGAATAATTTAAAATATTTCAGATTTTCCTGCATATGGACAGAAAAGTGTCAAAGGGTACATGGTAGCAACCTTTATAAAAGCACTGAAGCAGAGAAGATGTAGAATACCTGAAAAATTCATCACCCCTCATCATGAAGTTTAGTCTTACAGTGGTTTTAAGATATTCAGGACAGTTATGTTTAATTCTGCTCTACAAAAGATACAGAATTTCTGTACCTTGAAATATCAAGTGCTGTCAAAATTCTTGGAAGGAGTGTTCAGTGTAAAAGTGTACCATCCTACAAGGTCATGTTCCAGAAATGAGGTCCTTGTGGTAGTGGGGTATTCCAGCCCTCCTGAGGAGCCCTTTCTGTAGTTCGTGTCTAGAGCTCTGCAGAGACCCTCACACATTCCAGCTCTGCAGCCAGCTTGGTCCCAGGCAAGTGGTGCATTTCTACCTACATGTATATATATTTATTTCTATATTTATGTATATTTATATATCCTACTAAACTGTAGAAGGGTCCTGAAGCACTTCAATGCCTGAGGCTTTCTTTATAAGGGTTATAACCCTTATCCACCCAGATGGATAATGACAAATGTCTAGAAAGGAGCAAAGAATGTTAGTTTAAAATCAGTCAGGAAATAATGATCTTTGAAATTTAATACATTTAAACACATTACTCTCTCCTAAATTTGCATTAAATATAAATGCAATTCTTAAACCATATGTTTTTTTGTTTATACGTGTCAACCTGGCTATACATTCTTTAGACTTAGCATTCCTTTCTGGTTTTGGCTTGCTACACTCAAACATTTGTGAGTTTGCTATGAATGGGGTTTGGAATTATAGTGAAAAAAGAAAAATGAAGGGGTACATCTCTGGCAAGAGTAATACAAAGATACATCAGCCACTGCTTTCGTCCCCACTTCAGCAGAGTTATCAGCTGATAAAGCTATTGCAAAACAGAACGAGTTAGCAGCTCTCACTGAAACCAGCACCCATGTTTATATGAAATCTGTGTTAGTATCAAATCCCATGTTTAACCGAATCTGGCTGTGTTGACTTGTTTCCTTGCTCAGGGTCATTAATATTTTCCCTGTTTACCCTCTTAGCTGGCCCACCTTCACATAAAACCATGGAATACTCAGAGTCATTCCTGATCTTGCCTGTTCAGTCCTGCTAGTTCTTATACTCTGGGCCAGAATCTGTCATTATTTTCTTGCAGTTATTGTCGTATTTTCTTGTGCATCTTTCTGCATGTGTCTGTATTCTCAGTTTCTCCTTGTTTCTCTCTTCCCTGTTTTTCCTGGCCTCTCGCAGCCCTTCCTGCCAGCCATGGTGTCACATCATGCCACGTTTACACCAAATCCAGTGCAGTTGCCAAGCCCCTTATCTGTGTATTTGATCAAATTGCTCCTTCTCCGTGCCCCTCTGAGAACTCATCTCTTATCTCATGAACAAATCAAGCTGCCAGTCACTATGTTCAAAGAATTTCTTAGCTCTCCCCCCACTACTCACCACCTTGGTTAATCTTCTCTTCCCCCACATACTCCATCTCCAGCAGCACCTCTCTTCTCAGGGGTTTCCGTGCTGGCTTCTCAACTCTGCTGTCCTGCACTCCTTCTTCTTCTGTACAGCTGCAAGGTCACACCCTTGTATTTCTATTTATATTCAATTTTCTGATAAGACAACATGTACATCTCAGCCAGCAGATTGCAAACCGCTTTGGCCCAAGCTGCAAAGATTTTTCACCAAGTCCTCAATACCCTACATTTAGTGTGAAGGGGAGATTAGAAAGACTCATAGTCCTAAGCAAGTGTTACTAGCTAAAAATGCAATGCTGTTAAAAATTATCATTATAAACTCAGCTGTACTGACTCAAGTGAAATATTTGTTGATCAAGACCCTTTTTGAGGGTAATACACTGTTGCAGGCACAGTGAAATCCCTACGTTTATCAGGGCATTCTACTGCACATGTTTTGATTCATTAATTACAAGAAAGGATCTCGGAGCATAATTTAAACAAATTCTCAAGCATAAGAAAATTTATGAGCACACAAAAGTGGTCCTATATTTTGGAGGTGCAAAGTCTGGAATTTATCCAAATAGCTGCTGCTTACAGAGGGCTCAATTCCAGAAAACTCACATCAAACTCTGCATATTTTGTACAAGTGTGCTATGTGAGGCAGACTGGCTTGTAGAATTGGGAAATTTGACCTGAGCATTTATCCTAATCTACAAATAGGTATGAAATCCCCCTTGACAGCAGTGATGCTTTTTTGGGAGATCACACACTTGTGTCATCTGACCACAAGAGTTTCTTGGTGCTCAGTCACTCGGCTGAGAAATGAAGTACAGATTTACTGGACTTCAACATGACAAATGTTACAATATCTGCTGCATCTTGTCTTCAGCAAGGTCACCATATTTTTTTTTAAATTTTTATTTTTATTTCTATATCTACATAGTCTTCAGCTGGCAACAGCTTCAGTTTAGTCTCGTTTCTGTCCTATGACTCTGCATTGTCTTAAGCAAAGTGTCTACAAATCTGTACATTAAGTGCTATATTTAAATTGTACTTTTATGGAAAATGCACATTCTTAATTAGCATTGAACAGGACACTTATCCTGTACATCATGTTGGGTGCATGCATTTATAACTGTATTTACCAGATGAGCCAGTAAGAGACAGATGCTTAATCATGCCACACCCCTTTAATTTATCCTTAATCATTGATTCACATCTACTTCATGTCCCTCAAGTGTTATTTTTTTCCACAACATTTACCTTAGCGTACATTTCAATGTGTGCTGTTCACCTTATGGCTTCAGAGAGGATGTGGTTATGGTCTGACAGAAAGGAAGCTTTGCTGTAGATGGGAAGATAAAGCTCAAAAGCACCTACGCTGCCTCTTGAACACTTTTTTTTTTCTAAATTAACTGTCTTCTTTCTCGTGTTTCTTTCTTTGACGGTGAGCACAGCACAGAGTTCCCATGTCCTGGGAAACAAACATTCTTGGCTCAGCCATGAATAACTGTGTGCTCCTGGAGGAACTGCTGATCAAGAAATCCCAGCAGAAGAGAAGGACTTCACCCTCCAATTTTAAAGTTCGCTTCTTTGTCCTGACCAAATCCAAGCTGGCTTACTACGAGCATCGCCACGGGGTACGTCAGTTGTTTTCTCTCTCAGAGCAGTGGGAGGAAGGATGGAATTTGTTTAATGGAGGGAAGGATGCTAATGGAGGGAAGGATGATCTTTGTTAAATTTTGCTAACTTTTCTGGTCCTTGCTACAGCACCATGCACTGAAAATTGGTCAAATGGGTCATTTAGAGCTTCTGATCAGCAGGCATTTGGTGTGAATGGAGGAAGAAGACTACGAATTTATAGGAAGGATCTAGTTTTATTGTAGGAACTTGGCATGGGCTGTGTGTAAGAACTGTGTGAGTCTGTGCCTGGCACCTCACATGGGGACAGGGTGACCTGGAGAGGCCTATTGTGAAGGTCACAAGTGTACCCTGATGGTATCTGTGAAAAAATAATCCACAGATCTTCACTCTCATTCTTTTCTTTGGGGTATCAGGCTGATGGCTATTAAGGAGGTCTATCTAGCATTTTAAAATAAATTCAGCTGCCACATGTAACATGTGGCCTTTGGAGCTAGCTTCAGATGGGCTGTGATGGTGAGATCCAGGCTCAGGCCAGGCTTTGTTTCTCCAACTTTGCATTTTGCTGATCTGCTAAATATGAAGAAAATTAGAAGTCAATCTGTGCACCCCATTGTGTTTAGTGTTCTAGTGAAGCGAGAATTATTTCCTTCTATTTAGCTGGATATTTGCAGAGCCTCGCTATGGTTGTAAATAATCTTGCTTGTTTTCCAGCAGTCCCTGAACATGCTGTTAATCCATTTTGTTTAGGCACTGTTCCTGTAGGCAGAGAAGAACTGTGCTGCCTTGGATGTAGCACTGGCAACTTCAGATCATCTGGTCTTGCTCAGTTGCAGAAAATTAAGTAGAAACAGAACGCAACAATAAAAAAAAAGGCAAGATGTGCCCTGGTATTTTATCACAACCTATTTGGGGTTACAAACAAGCTTTAAAAGTTAGAAGGTTTAAAGGTTAACAGTCATTTTCACCTGCATGTCGTTTCTCTCAAATATGCCCAATGAAATGTTTTTCTTGCTTATACTTTCTAGCCCATGTTTTTCTCACCTCCATTTTAAACAGGACACTATTCATTGCTGCATACTGTCACTGTCTATGGTTTGAGACTATCTTTGTTTGTTCTCCAAACTATTTTTCAAATGTCATTTTCATAAGATTTTAAATTCCATTATAACTATTCCACTTAATTATTCAGGGCTAAATTTTGAAAAGCATCTAAGTGATTTTGCTGTAGGTGTGGGTGTTTAGAGAAATGTTCGCTACTGGTTTTCTTTGGTGCTTTCTGAGTCTTGGTGGGCTTGACATGAATTGAATGGAACTCTGACTAGATACTTTTGCAGTAGGTGTCTTGTCAGCATCTTCAGGGACTGAAATAGTTTGGAAAATCTGACTTGGTGACTTTCAGTGGGGCATAGGCTTCACACATTGTGTGTTCTTGGAAATTTTCCCTCTGAGTCTTCCAAAAGGTCACTTAGGTGAGATGAGGGTTTGGTGCATCATCCACTTTATCTTATATATTATATATTTTAAAATGCACATATGATATATGTGTAGACATATGTAGGTAAACACACCTGCAACTTTAGAACCTTTTGCACGTTTGAGGCATGGTGGTATATTTGTAATCACAGGGCTGATATTCCATGAAATGCTGATTTTCCTTCTCACACAAACTATCAAAATCAGGCTGTTACATGAAAAGAATTTGTCACGAAGTACAGAAAGAAGAATTTGTCCTGTGAAACACTCCCAGAACCAATCATTAGCCTCTTCAGTAATCAAAATTAGAGCGTGCTGGTGAGACCTCTGCTTGATCAGGCCATTGCTGCTCTGGAGAGGAAAGCTGAGGGCAGCCCATGCAAGAACCATCTTGTTTTGTGCTCAGAATGGAGGCAACCCACAGCATTTGAGTTCACAGCCAGTGGAGAGAGGATTCCAATGATCCCTGCCCAGCACATGGGCTGTGCCATTCCCAGGAGTGCACCAGGACCAGCACCATGTGCAGATATTGAAATCAACGATCTGGTGCTGATTGTCTGCTGCAGTCCCTGGCACTGCTTTGCTCTGCTCCACAGGGGCTCTCTCAGATAATTTCTGGGGCTGGCAGAGGTCAGAGCAGGCTCTCACTGTTACCAGGGGGCAGTTTGCAGGTGGTCCTGCTCTGGAGGTTTAGGGACACTGCTGACAGCTGGCTGCAGTGATGGGGAGCGTTCTCAAGTTCCATGGACTGACATATGGATGGGCCCAGCACATATCTGAGCTTTTAAAGCATGGATTTTTCAAGGGAGATCTCTGGAGATGTTTTCACCATGGGTTTTCAATGGGTGTCTTTAAGAACCCCTTACCAACCTGTCTGGTGGATTGCTGTACTCAGAGTTTTGTACTGTATAGTTCCCATCTCTCCAGTCCCTGGTCAGCCAGTAACAACAGCCTGTGCACCAAGTCAGGTAAAACAACTACTGAACTGCTTAAAAGTTTGAGAAGTCCCACTGATTTCAGATGGATGACTTAAAGTACACACTTATGCATTAAGCCCTGGTTTATACAGTCTGCCTGCATTTAACAGGGTTTAACACACAGTCCCTTTTTCTGCATTTTTAAATCAAAGGTATAAAACAACATTAAAGAATTTTAATCAGTCCAAAACAAGGAAATAAGCAGGCTAAAAGGCTACAGGGATATTTCTGCACATTATACTCAAAGCTGTCAAGACAACTGACATCATAAAGGCAGGGGGTTTTTGCAGTAACTGTAATGGCATTTTCATTGTAATTTTCATCTTTCTGCCACAGCTGACAGAGAGCACTGTTCTCCTCAGGGCCAAGCACACAGTGGCCCTTAATGTTAATGAAAGATATTTACATGTCTCATTAGGAGAATGAGCCCCCAATAACTGACAACAATAAGAAGCTGTGTTTTCTGGAATTCATTATGCAGTGCACAATGCAGGGCTGTCTTAACATAAAGCAAAGCCCTGATAACAGGCACATGTATTCAGCCCCCATCTCTGCTAAAAGACATCAGAAGTGCCTTTATTATAACATGCAAATCAATTCCAAAGGCAAAAATTATTTGTTTCAGGGTCTGATTTTGTAGCTACTGTACATGTGAGTAAACAAGCACATGGGAGTAATAATTTGAACTATTTCAATGAGTTTGATCCTCACTACAATAATGTAGTGATACTCTCAGGGTCCTGGTACACTTGCTGCTCTGCAAAAGCAGCAGAGAAGTGAATTCCTTTGGGGAGGTGTCTGGGACAGAGTTTCAAGTATTCTTACTTAGATGCAGCAAAAGCATTTGAACTGGTGAATTATCTATACCCCCTTTACCCAACAGCTTATGCTCCTTGGTAAATCCTTCAGGCACATAAATATTTTGAAATTTTATATCTTCATGCACTTGGGGGCTATTATTAGTCCAGC